GTCGCGGCCGCGGGAGCGCGATGCCTTGAAGCCGGGGTGAGCGCTGTGTTCCGCCGCTTCCTTTTCCAGCTGCCCCGCGACCCTCGGCCGCGAGTGGAAAGCCCGCGGCCCGCACTGCGGGGAGCCGCGCGCCCTGGGGGCGAGGCCCGGCCCCGCGCCCTGGCCAGGCCTCCGTGGAGAGCGCCGGGCTGGCTCGGGCGCTTTCCCGTTGCCAGGGATGGAGGAGGTTTGACCCGCTTTGGGGGGTGACTGGAGGGAACCAGGAATGCGTTTGTCCTACCAGGGCCCAGAATGTTTTTTTTAAAGATTGCCGCAGTGGCTAAAAGGTGTAGGCTAAAGGTCCAGGGGCGCCCGAAGCGGGTCTGAGGCGAGAAAGCAGGAGCGCAAGCCTCCTTCCGCGGACACCCCAGATTATCAACCCTTTAATGCTTAGCCCAGAAATAACCAAGTCTCTACGTAGTCAACCCCAGTATTTCAAAAGGAACCTAAGCTACCCCTCTTCCCAAAGGCCTTTCCTTGTCGATCTCATAAAAAAAAACAACAACCCCACACTCACTGCCATCAAAGTCGATTCCGACTCACAGCGACCCTGTAAGACAGGGTAGAAATGCCCCTGCGAATGTCCCCCACTGTAACTCTTCACAGGCGTCTACCTTTGCTTAGGGTCCAGAGAAAACGATGTTTCCCCGCTAAGCATCGTAGTGTGTAGAAAAGTCGCTGTCTGCACTAGATTTTGAAATGATTTCTTCAGTTACTTGTCCTATGTTACAAACTGTGGATTGACTACGGGTGAATTTATCGACAGCTCTCATTTCTGTGTGCTTCCATATTCCGTGTACCTCCAGTCGGACTATACTCGATAGCACTTGAGAGTTCTGCCCTATTTCATGATGCCACCAGATTCGGCTCTTCCCGCTGGCTCATTTATCAAACTTCCGTCTTCTGCCCCAAAGTTGTCTTTTCGTCTCCTTCCCCCAGTTATTTTTGCTTTAAAATTAGCTCCATTCATTCAGAATTTCAGGACTGTTGCTGCAGCTCCCCAACGGCCCTAGTAGTAGCCTCTGTATTGAAGTCACCTCTCTGATATGTGAGGCTTCCCGAATTCAGAACTCAAAAATGATACTGCACTTTCTCCTTTCCTCTGGTGGGGTCTGGCCTTATTTTCCTCCAGAACATGACTGTATGTTTCCTAATATGTTAGCTCTGTCTTTGCACTTATGTGGACTTTGTATTAGATTTATAGATATACAGCCTGGTCTGTCTTTGATTCGTTGTCTAAGTGTTAACACACTTATCTTCCTCTTCCCCAAAGGCGGGTTAGATCGAAAGAGAATTCTTAATAACCATAGTGTATTTTTCAAATCTGAAGAGTGTATTTAGTAAACAGTGAACACAAATCAGTAGTGTTAGAAATCCATTATTATAAATTTCTAAGTATTCTGTTTGTAGGTTTCCTTGCTGTTAAAAAAACAATTCTGATTCATGAGTTTAAAGCTCAAAACGGGCATTCCAGGTTCTACAGAGCCTCTGACTGGCCTAATTATTTCACTATGTATATTTATTAGAACTGAATTAATTCCTTGCCTTGAAGAACAGTTGATATCTGATTATAGATCTAGAAATTGAGTAAGCAATGGGTAATAAAGTAAATCTTGCCCTTAGGCACTTAATTTTATACTTGGTTTTAATCTCTGATGTTAGAGCTAACTTGATAATAAAAATAGTTGGTAATTATTTAAATTATAAATATTTTTAGAAGTAATGTAAAGTTGGTAAAGATTTGATAGAAAAGGGAGTTTTCCAAGGTATTACCTAAATCCTATCTGACTAGAGAGCTAGCCATCTTGCTGCACTTTCAGACATTTCAGCCTTGTTGTAATCCTTTTATTAATGAATTATGGTTTAAGTGTTCAGGGAGGTTTCTTCCTCCCCCCCAATTGCACATGATTTACTTTTTTTTTCCTTTAATCACTTTATTGGGGGCTCTTAACAGCTTTTTTTTTTTTAACAGCTTTTATAACAATGCATACATCAATTGTATCAGTCACATTTGTGCATATGTTGCCATCATCATTTTCTTTTATAATCATTTTATTAGGGGCTCATACAACTCTTATCACAATTCATACATACATCAATTGTGTAAAGCACATTTGTACATTCATTGCCCTCATCATTCTCAAAACATTTGCT